TTTAACCAGAAATTGGATATTCTGTATTAGGCACAGCGGTGGCTAATAAAGTTAAATACACTGATGTTAAAGTTGGTTTTGGAAAACAACTTGTTTTCCAAAGGAAAACAGCAGCTGGTGCTGAGGCCCTGGGACAGAAGTGAGCTTGGTGTGTCCAGGGGAAAGGCCACTTAGCTGAAAAATGAGGGTTGGTGGCACATGCCTGTAATTCCAGGACTCAGAGGCTAAGGCAAGAGGATTGCAACTTTGAAGACCCTGGACTACTTCCAAGTTTGTTTTCCAAAACTTGGTTTTGGAAAACAACCTGTTAGGCGACAGGGCGGCTCTGTCCGCCACAACTTTCTGGGGAGATGGATACACTGGGTATCTGCGGGCATCAGAGCAGCCACCACTGTGCCCACAGAGAACCCAAAATGTGGCCACTACACCAAGAACTGAAATTCTCATTTCATTTCATCAAGTTTGATTTCAATGAAATCACCAAGTGTGGCAACGGTCTGCGTCTCGTTGGGGCGGGTCCTGATACTTCAGTATCAGCCCAAGCAGACAGCATTTGGTCAGCACGAAAGGCCACAGGCACAGAGCATCTGAAAACAAGTTCTTCAGGGCCATGAACATAAATCTGGTTTTTAAAAATGACATACACAAGGTGAAGGAAAGCCTAATTTATCCTCTTTTTCTGGAGTTTGAACTTTAGGCCCGTTCTCCAACTCCCCCAGGTGGAGAAAAAGAAGATGACACAGTCTGAGGGAAGCAGCCCTCTCTGCAGGGCTCTTCTCTGCCTGCCTGCCTTCTTAGGAAGCAGGGCACGAAGTCTGCCCAACACCCTCGGCAGCAGGAAATGCGCGGGATAAAGCACAGTCTTGTGCCAAACCTGACCCCTCGCAGGTTGCCGAGGTCTAAGGAAACACCGGAGACTCTCGTCACTGAAACCCCTCTGCAACCCACGACTGAGAAAACATCGACTCACGCTGGCTCCCGGCTCCTCCTCAAGGGCAGCTGGAACCCCTCCCCCGCTACGCGGCAGATTCTACCTGCACAGGAGTGCGAGCTAGAGAAGGGGGCAGCTTAGGGCAGAACCAGCTGCTTCTGAGGTCCCTCGGGCAGCTAACTCAGGGCAGTGTGCCCAATGACGCCCGACCTCCACCTGCAGCTGATTCCTCCGCGCTGCCGCGCTCCCCGGACCTGAGCACCTGAGCACCGAGTGAGGATCACAGGGAGGTGGCAAAGGAGGAGCAGAGTGTGGCAGCTAGAGCAGGCAGCTCCGTTTCCTACATGATGACTGCATGTGAGTTTCAGAAAGGACTTTTCAAGTACAATTTCTTTGGTCCTCTCTGGATTTCACCAGATGCAGCTGAGGGCTGTATGGAGAACAGCTGGGAAGAGAATGATGAGCAATGAGGCCTGGGAGGCCCCAGTGGACGCTAACGGTGGCGCTGGGCTAAGGCAGGAGGGGCGTGGGGTCTTCCCGAGGCTGCTCTGCTGCCGCACTGCTCTCCCCAGGTGACTTCCTCCGCTCCCCTCCCACTCAGAAAACTCCTGCGCCAGAGACAGCACAGTTGAAAGTACTTCTGAAGAGACAGTTTCACAAAAAACTCCTTTGTGTTAACAAGGGTATATTTGACTAATAAAGTTTTACATTTTCCACTTTAATTTGTAAAAAAATTATTCCACCAACTAGCACCCTATGACCTGAGAAATTCTCAGCCTCCCTCAATCTAGGACACCAGCAGATTGCGGCCACAGAGCGCAAAGGGACTGCGGATGAAAACAAGTCATTTCTAAAGGTGGACCGTGTCAAAATAAGCTTCCAGGTGGGAAAGGACCATTCAGCTTTCCTTTCAGCAACAGATGTTATGTAAGAGTTGCTGCAGCGACTGTCAAACAAAATTTAGCTGAGCTGTACCTGTGAAGTGCATGACCAGAGAATACTCAGACCCCTTTCAATGTACTGAAAACAAACCACTCTACAAAAAGCACTAACACTTTAAAATGTAACTTTGCACATGGTACAAATTAAAAAAAAAAAAAAATCAACCAAAACCAGAACAAAACAATATGGCAACAGCATCCTATGGTCGGATCCTCCAATATCAACTTTCGGATCTCAGAGCAATTTATTAAGATTCTGAATATTCCTAAAATGTGCCTAATCATGTTTCCCCACATCTGAATTTTACAGAGAGCAGCTGCTCAAAAATGCATCCCCTCTGTTAGTCTCCACATTTTTCAACTTCAAGTGAACCAGGGGCCCAGTTATGGCCTTGTTCCTTACTGGTGTGCTATGAAATAAACCAGCAGCACATACTGCACAGAAGCTTTTATTTCCAGGACACATGTGGGTAAGCAACACATCAAATTTAAACATTCTATTTGAAAGAGAAAAAAAGAAAAATGCACTGACAGGTCAGTCAAGAAGTAGAAATTTCCATAGTAAGGGCAAAGTGCACAGCAGCAGCTCTGACCTTTAATAGTACGTTTTTCCACCGAAGGATACATCCTGCCCTACATCTTATGGGGGGAAATTCTTAAGAACAGTGGAGCCTAAGTTAAAAGTGGCCAAACCTTATGCTCACTAACTCATTTTAGAGATGGGGAAGCAGAATCACACAAGCTAGGTGACACCCTTCAGGGCAATGCAGGAATCAGTATACTTCTCTAACCTCTAATGCTGAAAATACTTGCCATTGTATCGCTCTCTCCCTTACTTTGGGATTTTATCTTCCTTATGAAAAAAAAATCTATGTCATCAAATGTTCCAGAAAATGTTCTGTGCTGTGAGCCATTTGCTGCCTTGTCTTCTGCCAGGCTACAAGGGTTCCATTACAAGAACCCTCCACACATCTGAAGGAGGGTTAGATCAGACACAGGCCAAGTTCTTGAATGCTTTTTTGGCTGGGATTATTTCCCAAACCTTCTGGCTGTTTGGTCCTGGATGAAGAGCTGCCCTGCATGGCCCCTCAGGCTGTGAAACTCAATGAGGTAACGGTCTTTGCTCAGAGGTGAGTTCTGGGGGTAACAGAAGCAATGGCAGCTTGTGAAGGTGACAAGATGTCAGGCTTAAAATGCAACATCGAGTATCAAGCCTATCTAAACGTTCAGGTTAAAATATTCCAGTTCAGAGTAACACTGCGATACAGAAGAGGAGAAATGTGTGCAGTGATGGTTTAAGTCACCTGCACGAGTCAATCATGCTAGGTAAGTGGGTGCAACTAGAAGAAGCAAGCTGAAGACTGAGAGGAGGGAGACAACCAAAGAGAAAGGGTCGACTCAAAGTCAGATGAACTAAAGTGCCTCAGTCTGTACTCCTGCAAAATAATTCACACAATGAAACTGTGTCCTGCTTAAAATGCCATGTTGCCTCTGGTGTCCTTATGAGGAAGCAGTGAAGGGCCCAACATTTCAGTGTTTTTCAGTGGTAATTTCAAGCTCTGTGGCTCCAGCTCTTAGGCACAGTAGCACTAGAAAAAATACAAAAAGACAAGTGGGGCATCACACTCAGACACTGCAGGCCACACCTACGGATCTTACACAACTGACATTCTAAGACCCCTATCTTCCTTATAAACACAAATTTTTCACAGTAAGACTGTTCTGGCATTGCTGATGGATTTTTCAGGTTGAAATTTAACATTCTCCCTCCTTATTGCCAGGTTCTTTCTGCTAAAAGAGGAATAAATAAAACACACATATTGCTATTCTTCTGTGACATGAACAGTAAGAGGATGCAGGTATATTAGTAAGAGAGGTTGGGGAGCATCAGGAAATCTTAGTTTTAATGAAAGAGCAACAAACGAAAGGGAAGGAAGCACACAGTATGCACCCCTGCAAATGACTGCATTTCCTCTAGACTGTCAGAAGGGTGGCACAGGAAGCGGGCAAATCAGACCTAAGCATATCATAGTAAAACTTGATTGTCTGCTGTCAAGGAAGCGTGGAGAAAGGTTGGCACAAAAATTCTAACTATTGGTATTTAAGGAACCTTTTGGATTTCTGCTTTTTGCTATAGGGAGGGCAACAGATTTGCTGGAATAAACCACCTGCTACAGAGGAGGGAGGCTTAGAATACACCACATGACAAGGAAAAGATAACCTGGAGCTAAAAAAAGTCTACTGTGTCTCCCAGGCAGAATTTAACTCACTCTAATTTGGCTTACAGGAAGAGCTCTGACATGCGCAAATTAATGTCGTTTGTGGTAAAGCCAGGAACCTCTACGATCCAGCCTGCAGAACTGACACGAAGTTAGACAGCTTCTGGACTCTCCATGGCTTCAGAAGGGCCCACCAGCTCTGCCCCAGGAGTGCTTGGTGCCCTGGCCCCGGATGCTCCAGTTCCAGAACAATCATTCACAAGGAAGAAGAGGCAGAGGGGAGTGGTGACTAATGCTGACTCCACCAGGTAGACACACACTTCACTGAGCATGCCAGCTGTTCCTCAACAAGCCCAACCTCAAGCAGCACGAAAAGTCTGCACTCTAGTGGGGTGGGGGTGGAGGAGAGGAACCAGAAGAATGTACAAAAAAATCCCAAGCTAGATACACCAACAATACCAAAGCTACTGGCTTGAAGAATGCTAAAGGACCAGTTATCAACACAAAAAAGGAGCTTGCCCAAGACACCAGCTGCAGAGACTGCGCCAGGGAAAACACGGGTGATGGTAGGAAGACAAAGAACCACACAGAAAGCCACCTGGCAGCTTGGAAAGAAAGAAGGGGAGAAGATCCTAAAGCAAAATGGAACAAGAACTCCAGCCAGAGGCCCTGTAAGACCAGTCCACACTGGAGGCCTGCTAGGTATGCAGTGGGGAATGAACTCTAGAACACCAGCGGTGTGGTTAAACACTTTCTCCGAAGTGACATGCCCAAGTAACTCAAATGGAGGCCCCACAAAAGGTCTTCCGTAGGGAAACACTTGGGAAGACCCTGGGTCTCATCACTCTGATTTTTCATCCCAGTGAAAAGCTGCTGATGGAGAAACAGGACATATTTGAGGATAGTTACCTCTGATTCCAGTGCGTCTGGTCCTTCTTTTGAACTTTTCCCGCTTTTCCCTGCTTTTGGTGGATCCTGCGAAACATCAAACAAAAATAATAAGTCTTCTCAATTTTTAGCCCTCTAAACACCAAACAGTTTCAAAAATTGGCTTATAAAACTTGAGTAGCGCTTCCATACCCTCGGGAAATCTATGAGTACTCTTTAAAACAGTCTTGTGTTAACACACCCCCACCCCTTGTCACATTCTCTTCGTCTGCATTTGGGTTGAAAACTTTAAGCAGACAGAAGCCCGGCATGCTGGTGGTTCGCCTGTAATCCCAGCACTTGGGAGGATGGAGCAGGGGCATTACTTCGAGGCCAGCCTGGACTACATAGAGAGTTCAAGGGCAGCCTGAACTACAGAGACCCTGTCCACAAAAAAAAAAGAGAGGGGGGGAAAAAAAAAAAAGGAAACTTTAAGCAGATACAGATAACCCAATTTTACATCCCGCTTTTGACATCGGAAAGGGACACCTCGCAGCTCTTCCTTCTCGCCCTGAACCTCAGGAAGGTGGACTTCAGAGCGATCCTGAAATGCCAGCGCCCCAACTGGAGCCTCCCCCCCCCCCCCCAGCAAACGCGACAC